GGGGAAAAAAAAAAAAGAAAGAAAAGAAATTAAATAAGAAATTATAATTCTAAATTTAAAAATCAGTAGTGTTTCCTATATGCTGTTCTAAATCCAAAGGCTTGTTGGGTAATTACTGGTGTCATCAATAGAGATTGACAATGTGGATAATTCTCAAAAGAGAATAATCTCAATCAACTCCAATATGGAATTAAAAGATTTTGGATAGGGCTGGCTGGTTAGCTCAGTTGGTTAGAGCATGGTGAGGTCTAACCAAGGTCAAAGGTTCAGATCCTTGTACCCACCAGCCTCAAAAAAAAATCCACAAAAACCATTTTGGATAATGCCACTCCGAATTCCTATTAAAGAGCTTACAAATGATTGCTTCTCGGCCTTTTGGCTAAGATCATGTGTAAAGAGCTTACAAATGAGCATATTCAGTAGAGGTCACAGACTAAAGACTAAAGCTCATTAAGGTTCACAGAAGGGAAGAGCAATTAACAAATTACTGAAACATACATCTGAGGATACTTTTATTTTCAAGGCTAGTTTTTACTTTTTAAATTAAGGCTTTTGACCTTAATCACAGGAATTATCGCTGGAAAATATCTAAGGAACTGAGCCCTCTGAAATACAAAAATATAAAAAACTGAAATAGAGAGCAAAATGCACCATCAAAGCAGACTGTCTTATATATACCTTCTGGAATAAAATGTGATAATATGATTTTTCTAATTATTCTTTTCCAAATTACGTATTTAGCTAACATTTGTATCACATAATATTATGGGGTTTTATAAATGTTTTAAATAGGATACAACAAAATTTAAACTATGTGCTTAGCTATGTACACTTAGAAGGAAGCATGAATAAGTGAAATCTGCCCAGGTAATTCAAAAGCTCATTTTAAACAATACTTTCGATCTTTTTTCCTGCCAAGTTCCCAATTTTGCCTACCTTCTATTGGATGGCGTTAAGCAAGAAACTTAAAAATGAAACACAGGATAGTTATTTCTGAAAATCTGATGCAATTCAGTTATAATTTTATGTGGACATCAATACTCTTTGAATGTTTCCAGATTCGTGGTTTCACCCCCACAGGGCCCATCCTTAACACCATCCTGTGGCACTCATATTTCACCCCACCTCTGCAAGCTGGCACTGTGCAGAAGAGAAAATGTGTAACGTAAGAGAATAAGTGTTGCGGGATGATGGTGACTGTGACCTCTATTCTTTGGACTCTGATGAGAGTTGTTTATCTCTTACTGTGCTATGAGCTTCCTAGAGCCAGGATTCTGTCCTTGGCTCTTGTGACAAGCTCAGATTGGTCCCGAAGTCCATGATCAATGACAGCGAACAAAATAGGTTAGAATCCAAGCTGAGCTCTGTTTTGTCTACTTTATAAATGACATCCCACTGTAGTCCCATGTGAAGGAGACTTGTTTTAAGTGACAATAAGGATCCTAAAATGTATCAGCTCTAAGGAAATAAAACTTATCATACGATTTGTATAGACATTTTAGGACAATTATAACATACATTTATTCACAAAGTCCTGTACAAACTGGATGTAAATCCCTTAGTAACATCTCCTTACTACATTATAAATATAAATATTGAGGAAATAACATTTTGGTTTTTTGGCAGCTGGCTGGTAGAAGGGGAAATAACATTTAAAGATAAAATTTAAGAATTTAGGTTTTCTTATAGGCATTTTATACTTTTCACCTGTTTCTTTAAGTTGTATTCTAGAGTTTGGTGTTATTAGCAAAATTATTATTGTTAGTTATAACACTTTATACAGTAGTATAGATTAAATGGTAATGCAGTTAGGTAAGTAAGTAACAGCAACCTAGAAAAACCAAACATGCTGATTTCAAGAGATCTTTCAACAGGTGTGAAAAGAAGTTGCCTTCACTAGGCTCACTTAAGTGTAGGGTTAATCATTAAAAAGACAGTGTAACATTTATTTAAATGGAGTCCAAAACACTAAGCCTACGGAAATATTAAAAACCTATTTCCTTGGAAAAGAATATATTTAATGGCATACCTCTCTTCTGTGCTCCTGCATACCCTGGTGAGCTGAAATGAGGTTGGGTAGGGAGGAAGGTGGTCACTTTTCATTGCATACGGTTTTGTACTGTTTGAAATATTTCCATGAACATGTGCTTCTGTGGTAATTTTTAGAAAATCTAAGTTAGAAGCTAACAGTGAGTAAGTGGCGGGAGTGTACGGCACTGTCCCCTGCCTTGCTCCCTGCACCCAATGGGCAGAGCTGCAGTGGGCCTCCGTCTGCCCACTCCCCAGCTGTCATTTTGGGGATGTTGCTTAACCTTGCTGTGTCTCCATTTTCTCACTATATACAATAGAACTCACCTCAGAGTTACTTGAGAAGATTAAATGAGTTAATCTGCATAGTGCTCTCAGAACAGTGCCCAGTAGACACCTGCTCCCCACATCTTAGTTGTGGTTGGTTACCATGGTTATGACTATTATGACTACAATAAGAGAGAGAGAGCATGCGGTGAAGATCTGAATCCAGATTCTGCCATATGCTAATTGCATGATCTTGGCAAAGTGACCTAACTTGGAAGCCTCAGTTTTCTCATCTGTGAATTGGGAATAACAGTTCCAATTTCCCAGCATGGTTGTGGGGATTAAATGACATACTGTGCATGTATAAAGCACTGAGCACAATGCCTGGCATTCTGTATACCCTCGGTAAGTGGCAGTGACTTTTATAATGAAACTTTGTGGAAATTGAGTTTTTCTATATATTGTAGCAAAAAAGTTAAAAACAAAAGATAAAAAGCTGCTTTCCAATGAGGTTGATTCTTCACGCCAGAGTCCCAACTCTGTCTTAAACACGCAGTTGGCCCACTTACAATATGCTCATAAATGCCGCCTGACCTTACTACCCGAAGCACTAAGCTAGTCACATTTGGTTGGCATTTGTTTATAAACACATCAGTTGGAATTTTAAAATCACAGGTAAATGTACATGGCCGTGTCTGTCTTAATGGCTATCATATTCCTTCTGGTGCCCAGAATAGTGTCTCACACAGAGCAGGTACAAATGAGTTATTCTTGAATGATACACATGAATGAACCTAGGAAAAGTCTGGAAGTGGCTTTTGCTTTGTGGAAGTTGGCAAGTATTTTTGCATACAGGAGGCCCATTGAAGATATTTTAGAATTATCTCCAGCTCCCGGCCAGAGCTGGGTTAGCGGAGCTGGCTGACCTTCGTTAACTGCCCGGACCTCCCGGAGCCTATTTCCTCCTTTTTAATCTGCAAGGCTCTGCACAGCTCCAGTGTTCCATCACTGTGACAGGGACTTCCCTCCTGTATGGCTCTGAGTTTACAGCGTCTGACACCAATCCCTACTAGGAATTACCCCTAACTTGGAATTTACTGTAAGGTAATATAGTCACTTTGAACATCATATAAGGAAAAAAAATCTGAAACAACCATGTCTTACAATTCCACTGGGATGATTTCTGTTTATTTCTATTTCCACTGTCAACTCCCAGTCCCTGCAACAAGTGGAAGCCAAGGGTCGTGCCCCCATGAGCCTATGAGCACGGAAGCGCGCACACAACTTCAGCGCAAACCCCACTGTGGACAATGACAGTACAGAGGGAGAGCATGAAGCACCAGTCAAGGCGGTCGCCCTTATGCTCTGAGCCAAAAAGCAAAGTCTGGACGACAGAAGGGATCACTGTCGGGCAGCAGAGAAGCTCAAGAGTCATGGCCCAAGAGAAGCGAGCGCCCACATCTAGCAATGTCCCAGCAGACCCGGCAAGCCTTGAGACGCTTTTTTTTCCACAAACAGCTGTGTACAAAGCACTGCCAGCTTTTGTCAGCGTGGCCTGGTGACTCTGGGCTGATGCCAGCAGCCTGGCGAGGGCCTACCTTGCAGTGCGTGGTGCTGACCGGGAGCCCGATGTTGGAGGCGACCACCACCGTGAATGCTGAGGCCAGCTCGATGGTGAAGCCGCTGTGGGAGCGAGCACAGGAAGACAGTGTCAGGCGTGCTCCGCAGCCTCCTGGCCCTGCACGGAGCCCCGGTCTCGCTAGAGCATTCTCTGGGTCGACTGCGGACTGCTGATGGGCCAGATCAACAGTGACAGAACCAGAGACTCAAGGGCACACTCATACTAAGACTTCGTGGGATCTGTTTACAACCCCAGATAGCCTTGTTTTTCTGATAGGTTTTCAAAAAAGTGTGTAGTAACTGGGTCAGAAATTCTTGCTGTGCAGTAAGATGATAAATTAGTCGTTTCTAAAGTGGCATAGGAAAAACTATGCTCTCCTTTTAAAAATGAGTAATTATTACCAAAAAGTGCATTTTTCTCAGATTACTAATTTTTCTCCAAATCAGCCTACTAAAAAAATCTTTTATTAAAATGAATATCAAGGGGGAAAACTTAAAATTAGAGATAAAAGGAAAATGAAAGCATCAATATGTTTTAAAAAGAGAGGAGAGATATCCTACAATAAACAGGTGGTTCCAAATGTTAGTTGTATCTGAAAGTTCGCCTGTAGCTCTGTGATCTAACCCCTAAGGTGTCTAAAGGGTACATACAACAGGGTGACCAGGTACAAAGCCTCCAGAGCCCGCCTAGGACGGCAGGGGCAGCCTCCATCTGGCTGAGCTAGAGGAAGGATATACAAGGTAACCCCTGAAGGATGGCAGGTGGAGCTGGTGTGGCCGGAGAGCTTTGGAGAAAGGCAGGCCCCGGGCCCCGGAGCAGTCTGCCTCCTGCTCCCTCCCCACCTGTGCTCTGGACCTCTCAGCGGGCTGGGGGCTGCAGGGCGGCTTCCTCTTTCTCTCCCATCCTGCTTGGCTTCAGCTTCTCCTTCCTTCTCTCATGCTCCTATCCCTCATCTTGGTGCCACTATGGCTGGGGGCAGGGGAGTGCAGTGAGGAGGCAGGAGGTAGCAAGTGAAAGCAGGAAGGGGTCCCTTGAGCCTCTGCCAAAGGCTGCAGTGGCCTTGCTAAGAGTGGGTGGGGCAGGAGCTGAGTCAGGGCCACAGCCATGACAGCTGGGCTCTGCGGCGGCCTCAATGGCACGCCCTATCAACCCAGTGACACCCACTGGCTCACCTGGATGGTGTGATTGGAGTGAGGTCTTTCCCCATGGTCTGGATCACTCTTCTCCCCCAAACCCAGAGACCTGTACAAATTCCAACTCCTCCGTAAAACAGCAGCCAGACAGGAGTGGCTGCCTCTTGCATTACTCCACCTTGTTCATAAATCAGCCACAAAGCCACAAGGGGACCAATGGCATTACTGGAAAAAAAGGAAGATTAATTACACATACAAAAATAGCACTATGCACAATACACAGTGACCCCTCGGTCTCGAGAACAGGCCATCTTACTGTAGTTGTGGCTTACATATACGGTCTAGTGTTTATAAAAATGACTTTTTTTTTTTTACTGTGGTAAAAAGCATAACAAAAATTTACCATCTTAACCATTTTTAAGTGTACGGTTCAGTAGTGTTAAGTATATTTACATTGTTGTGAAAGAGATTTTCAGAACTTTTTCCTCTTGCAAGTCGGAAACTCCGCACTCATTAAACCGCTTCTCCCTGGCCCCTGTGGCCAACCACGGCAGCCACCATTCTGCTTCCTGGTCCTGTGACCTTGACTACTTTAGATACCCCACATAAGTGGAATCATACAACATGTATCTCTTTATGACTGGCTTATTTCACTTAGCACAATGTCCTCGAGGTTCACCCACGTTGTGGCACATGCCAGAATTTCCTTCCTTTGAAGGCTCAGCAGTCTTCCATTGTGTGCACGGGCCTGTTCTTGTTTGTTCATGCAGCTGCTGATGGGCATGTGGGTTGCTTCCACCTCTAGGCTACTGCGAGTAATGCAGCCACACGGGTCTGCAAACACCTCTTGGAGACTCTGCTTTCAATTCCTCCGCATATATACCCAGAGGTAGGACTGCTGGATCATACGGTAATTGGTTGTGATTTTTTGAGGAACCTTTGTACTGTTTCTCATAGCAGTTAACTCCACTTTACATTCCCACCAGTGTGCACAAGAGTTCTGATTTCTCCACATCTTCGCCAACAGTTATTTTTTTCTTCCTTTCCCTCCCGCAATTCCTTTCCATTTTCACTGCCACCCCCTGCTACTGCTACTAATGTCAGCTACCAATTTTGGGCAGACATATCAAGTTCCACACTATGGGATCACAAATATTACTGCTAACCATTAATTCTCACAACCACCCTGCAAACCAGGAACTGTCACTCCCATTTACTGACAAGAAACGGAAACCAAGGCCAAGGTCATGTTGCCAGTAGGAGGCAGGAGGTGGATGGAGAACAAGCTCAGCTCCCCCAGGGACACGCCTGCCGTCATCAGGCCCCTGGCAGCCCGCGCTGAGCACCAACGCGCAGGCGCTCACTGCTGCGCCAGCTCCGGTGCTGTGTACACCGTGCGGGCTGAGCGTCACGAGGAACTGAACCCCCTGTCTGCTTCTCTGGCTGTGTGACCCTGGGTCCTGTCTCTGAAGGACACTGCTTACCTAGCTCAAAGGGTTGTTCTGGAGAGGATTAGAATAGGTTGTAAATAGTCCCGCACTGAGCCCTGGGACAAACTTGATCACCTTTTGTTGAATGAACAGAAGCCCCTCTTCACTGTTATTATTTCTAGAATCTTGCTTTCATCAAATGACAACCCCGCTCAAAAGCTTCAAAACCAGTCTCAAAACTGCTAGCAGCTGCTCTAAACTCTGACCTGAGGCAATTACTGCCTAGACCCTTCCTCTGAACTTGAAATACTGTTTTGGGGTGGCTTGTTACTTTTCCATGTATATGTTTTTCTTATCTCCCTAACTGGAGTTAAAACTCCTAAGGGACAGAGACCCAATTCATAACACTCTGCACTTTCAGGCCTTCAATAAAGAATTCCTGACAACGAGGAGGAAGTTGTGTGGTGTGGGAGGCAGACAGGAAGTTACTGAGATACAACAGAATCTGGAGCCCTAAATAAAATGACACAGAAACACCCATGTGACACTGAGTAGGGCTTAAGGTGCCCAAGAGTGCCTGGCAGCAAGACTTCTTTTAGAACAGAAATGCAGTTGCACGTGGTGGACAATGTATGAAAACAGTTCGGTAACTGGACAATGTGAAAAGACAACAACAGCATGTTTTCCTGATTTGGACAGAAACATTAGCCCTGCGTGATAATGATAATAGAAGGGTGGAAATACACAGATACTGATTACGTGAGGAGCACGTCACACAAAGCAGCTCACATAATCCTCATGGAAACACTACGAGGTTGGAGCTAGTTTTACCCCCAGTCTACAGATCGGGAAACTGACACTTTGGGAAAGCAAGTGCCTCATCTGCCACCACAAAGCAAGTAAGGGAGAGCAGAGGCTCATGCCTGGGGCTGCTGGCTTCCAGGAGGCTTCTACAGAGCAGGCCTGGCATGGAGCTGAGCCAGGAGGGGGGCACCTGCTCCAACTCCCCCTTTTCAGAATGTCCGTGGTATCACTACACCCTGTGGGGTAACTGAAAGCCACATCAGGCAGCTACGGAGTCTGCACGCGTGGTGTGGGGAAGACCACAGAGACCACGGGTGGTGTGGAGCCCCTCTTGCTGGGGTTAAAGCTGCCACTGGAGAAATGTGCTCAGTCACTCAAGTTTGTCCCCAGCTGTGTGGCCCGACAGTCATCTCACCCAGGGAGTACAGTCTGGAGAGACTCCCAGGAGCTGTCCCTGAACTAGTGATGCTCCCTAGTGGCACCCTACCACTCAGGCCTTCTAGGCCCCCACAACTCCTTCCTGAAGACCTCAGGTTCCACCCTGAGCCACGGCACCGCGTGACTGCAGGCTGGGCAGTCCTCCTGTCCGGCTGTGCCCCGCCTTTGCTTGCCTTATGCTGCTGCTGCTGGTGCCAGTGAGCACAGCTGAGATGGAACCCTTACTGATACTGTCCACTCTTGCAACAGCCCTGGGAGGAGGTGCTGCTGTCCTCACTTACAGGTGACGAAATCAAGACAAGAGAAGTCAAATATGTAACAGCTCCTCTGCGAAGAGTGCCAGTACCCAGTTCTCTGCCTGACAAACTCCTGTTCAGCCTCCAAGACCCAGTGTGGCCTCTCCCTTGGGGCTCTCTGGTCTACCCACAGGCTCGGCTCTGGCCCCAGTACCCTGCAGTGCGCTTCAGCCACCTGCTCCCACGTCTGCTGAGGACACGGACCACATGTACTCTCCTTTCTAGCTCCGGAGGCTCAGGCGCCATCTGGCATGTAGGAGGTGCTCAGTAAATCCTTGCTGACTGACTAAATGAATGAAAAGTTGATAAATTATTGGCTTAGAAGTTTAATACTTTGTTGTAATTTCGGAAACACCTTTAAATAACAAGTTAGGAATGTTTAAACGAATAGAGAAAAGATTTAAGGGGTACAAATGTCAGCTTCCGGGTTACTGCTGAATGCATGTGAAAAATCTCCCAAGAAACCCCCGTGACCTCCAGATTCCACACTTCTGCAGCCTGCTGTCCCCTGAGCGCAGCGGCCGTTGNCCCGTGACCTCCAGATTCCACACTTCTGCAGCCTGCTGTCCCCTGAGCGCAGCGGCCGTTGCGCGGGTGTCACAGGCATCTCCAACCACACATGTCCAATCCCACACGTACTGCTCGGCCCGGGCCGTTCTCCACACGGCTGCCCTTCCGGATCAGTGGTCACCCCATCTCAGATTTGCTTAGGCCACATGGGCGGCCTCAGCCCGCCCTGTCTTTCTCACACCCATCTCCGCTCTGTTGGCAACTTCTGCTGGTCTGCCTTCAGGTCAGATGCACAACCCTGCGACACTGTCTCCCCACTCAAGCCGTTTCCAGTCCCAAAACAAAAGCCACAAGGCCCTTGTCGCCTTGCTCGGCTCCTCCCCCGGCTCCCTCCCCCTGCTGTCTCCTGACAGTCCCCCTTTCCCCTCTTGGGCCTCTCCTCTCTCTGGCGAGGCTCACGCACAGCGGGTGCCCCTGCAGGACACACTGTCCCTGTCCCAGTGCCGCCCGGGAGGGACATGTGCTGGGCGAGTGCACGAGCGCTTACCTCACATCATTGCCCCCGTGGGCAAAGGACCCGAAGCAGGCGGTGAGCACCTGCAGAAAGTGGAACAGCAGGTGGACCTCGGCCGTGTCACACTCGTCCTTCTCCTCCTCGGCAGCGTCCTCCCGAGGCGGGCCCGGCTGTGCCAGCGCAGGCGCCAGCTGCACTTCCACACCGCCCTCCTCCGCCTCTATCTCGGCCTCGGCCACCGCGTTGCAGTAGCTCGAGTAGCTGTCGTAGCGCAGCCTCTTCTTGGAGTAGGCCACGGTGTCGCCCACCAGCTTCTCGCTGTCCTCTGCGGTGGCCGGGGCGCCCGCGGCCTTGAAGGTGGCATGCACGGGCAGGCCGCAGATGGCCGCCGTGTAGCAGGTGTAGCTGTTGTTCCGGCGCAGCAGCCGGTAGCCGTTCTCCTGAGCAGGCTTCTCCTCCGGGCCGCGGTCGACGTGAATTTTGTGCAGCAGGTCTTTGTAGAGCCCCGAGTCTTTGTGCACAGTGTGGTACACGTGGCCGTCACTCTTAGTGTGGCCATCAAAGCCGAAGGTGCCGTTGGAGACAGGCGACCTTGCAGAGCCGTGAGTCATGGAGAGCGCCCTCCCTAAAAAGTGAAGACGAGTCTTATCTTTCAGTCTTTTGAATATAAACCATGTCTTTTAGGAAATGATCCCTACCGTTTCATGGCATTTTAATTTTTCTATGTAATTTATTTTCTTGACCATAAAGGACATGTAAATATGGCTAAAATTTTAAAAGAAAAAAAAAAAAGGAACTTGGAAACACATTAAAAGGGTAAAACTACTAATACGGTATTTTAAATTTGATAAAATGTAAATTCTGCTAAATGTGTCTTCCAGAAATTACTGTTTCTAGATATGGATAAAAGGAGAATAAAGGGTGAATCCTCATCTTAGAAAAACTTCATATATGAGACAAAACCCAGTTCACGTGACATAGATATTCCAGGTGCTTCTTAAGAGGCCAGGCATGACTAACAACGGCAGTCTGTCAGATCAGCAGGGCAAAATTAATTTGCTTCCTTTGGGCAGACTCTGAGACTGCACCTATGGCACGTGGGTGCCAGGGCCCCCCACCTTGCAGGGATGTGGGAGCCACCTGGGCAGGTTTGGGCAGGGACTGGTGCTCACCCATCATTGCCCACAAAGCACACCCCCAGGATGGTCTGCATGTTTTCTAAGGCTTCTGCGATTCTATGGACCATCTCCTTTGTTACAGTTTTAGCTCTCTGCGTCCCCCATGAGGAAGACTCCCTTAGCCAGCTAAGTGAACCAGTCTTCAGCAATCTGGAAACGCCTGTGGTATGGTATGCAAGACACACATGTGCAGCGGAGCTAGCTCAGCACAGGCCCTTGCACTTCTGATGACACTGTAAACAGCTCTTGGAAGAAAAGCACAGGGCAAGAGTCAGCCTGCTCTGCTGACTCTGGAATGGTCTCCTGAGGACTCTGTAGCCTCTGAATTTTCTTCAAACATAAAATTGAGGGATGCTTCGTGCATTAAAACCAGACTGCCCACACCCAGGCCTGGCTGCTTACCCGCTGAGGAACCTCTTTCTACCACACATATACCTGGCCCTCCAGACGTTCTTACCGTAGGACACCCGCGGGTGGCTTCCTGCTGAAGTGCCTTCTGAAGCGCCAGGCGTGTCCCCAGTCAGCCCCGTGAGAGGGACAGTGCTGTCATCATTAGCCTTGGCACCTGGGAGCTCTCTAAACACTGGGGACTCCACTTCCTGCACTTTATCGAGGCTTTCATTAGAGACTTGTGATAAAGCACCTTCTTTTTGTACTGTGCCTAAAGAAAATATAGTCATAACTAAAAATTTTCAAAGATAATTCTTGTTATTGAAAAAGTAACATTAAAAAATTAATATGTATCTTTAAACTTTAATACTTACTTTGGAAACAAAAAAATTATAGCTAGATAGAGAAAATAAAGTGGAAAGTTCAATCAATTATCTGGAAAACTAGCCGAAAAATTCAGCTATTGAGGAAAAGACGGGAGTTTAGGGCCTGAGTTACCGCACCCAAAAACAACAAAATGGGCTGGCCAGTTAGCACAGGTGGTTAGAGCACAGTGTTGCAACACCAAGGTCAAGGGTTGACCCTTGCGATGGCCAGCCACCAAATACCGACAAAACAACAACAACAAAAACCAACAAAAAAG